AAGGGCAGAAACTCCCCAAACACACACACACACACACACACACACGTTCATTTCAAACTCATGATTCAACGGCACTTGCTGCAACCGCCCGCCCTATTGCCAGCAAGGGCAGAAACTCCCCAAACACACACACACACACGTTCATTTCAAACTCATGATTCAACGGCACTTGCTGCAACCGCCCGCCCTATTGCCAGCACCAATTGAACAATTAAGCAGAGCGACATCGTGACATGAGTGAATACGATCGGCACAACCGCGCAGCAGCATGTCATAGCCAATATCGATTTGAAACTGCTTGCACGTCCCCGTTAGCACAAGACTTCATTGAAAATCCGTAGCCACACCATCTGAAAATTTGTCGCGTCAAAGCGAGCCCACAGCAAGCCACGCTGCTCAACGCGGGGGCTGCTCGCACACGGCCCGTGCCGTGGCCCGGTTGTGGCGTGCGCCCAACACCGCCTCATGGCCACGCCCGTTGGCGCCCGCTTGGACTGCCCAATAGCTCTTCGGAGACTCTGTGTTCACAGACGCTCAGCAACAAGGTGAGTCCACAACATGCCCAATGTGCGGAATCCGGCAAACATGAGGTTTTCATGCATGCGCTGGTGGAGTGCAAGGATCACGGTCCTGTAAGGGCATCCACGAGCGCTGAACAGGCTTCGTAATTTGGCACTCGGGCTGTTGTCAAGTGGGCGACGAGCAGGTATGGCATTTTCAATCTTGATTTCCTGTCTCCGTGCTTGTGTTTAAACAGATCTGAAGTGAGAAAATTTCATGAGTCGTAGCTTCGCCCCACCAGGTTTGCTCACGGGCATGCGAAAGCCCTCGGTGGTAAGGCCTTTTGGCTTGTACAGCTGTGGTCGTGCTTTTCGCTGCAGCACCTTCGGGAAAGCCCTGGACAGTCCTGAAACAACTTGGAGCCCCGAAGCATCCCAAAAGAAGCAACACGCTTGAGTCCATCATGCATCTTTTGCCTGTGGGTTCGCTTCATCACAAACTTACATCTAACGACAAGCTCGCTCCTGAAGCTTTTTCGGCCTCCTTCCTCAGATGGCCGTACAGCAACGAGCTTGATACTGCAACCCCTCTTCTAAAGCTAGAGAGACCGCGGACTATAGCTGCTCAGGTCTCGAGCATCTCGGTCAGGTGACGTCTCGTCCAGGCACGCCTTGCAGAGCCTTGCAGCCCCTGCGCTCTCGAAGCGAATGCTCCAGGTGCACTGCATGACATGCTCATGCATCTTGAGGCGTTCCGCCAGTTCCCGCACAATGGGCTGGTATCCAGCGCACCTTCCAGAGACCAAACCGCGATCACTGGCTGTCAGATCCCATGAGCATGTCCAAGACCGATTTCTTCGGCTTCGCGGGCGCTTCGGCTTTCGAAGCGGAAGCCTTCCCTGCCTCCGCCCGTGCCTCCGCCCGTGCCTCCGCCGGTGCCTCCGCCGGTGCCTCTGCCTCCGCCTCTGCGCGTCTGGGAGCCTCTTCGCTTCTGGGCGCTGCGGGAGGAGCTGCGGCTGTGGCCGTCGCAAAGGCGACCGAGGCCGAGGCGACAGCTGTGGGCATGGCTGCTGCGGCTGCTGCAGGATCTGTAGGTGCTGCGGCCGACACCGCGACCGGCTCGGCTGGTGCAGAGAGGTTGCTGAAGAGCTTGGCCATGCGCTCCTTCGGATGCGAAAAATCCACGTGCTTCGAAGCTATATGAGATCCGCACACAAGGCGAAATCCAATGGCGCAAGACAGTCCTTGCCAAGCGAAGTCTTCGGATTGATTTCAAGAGTCGGGATGGTGTATGTGCGTCCATACGTCATTAAGTGTGCTGGAGACCAGCCTCCTGAAAGCACGATAACTCAGGAGCTATTCAGATCAGAATACAACTGCTTGTAAAAATCAACCTCCTCAAACCCAGAACTGAAGTCATGATCCTGCTGAAAACGAAAGCTTTGTCTTTCGAGTCTGGAAATCCCACGCTCTCCTGCTCTCCAGTGCTTCCACGGAAAGCCAAGAGGCGGACGTCCAGCCTTCCGCTCTGGAATTCGTGCTATGCGACTTTGAATCGTCTGTTTCATTCTGTTTCGATGACCGAAGGGTGATCATGCTTGGATTTGGCAATGACCATAGTGGATTGTATGAACACGTCAATGTCATGAAGCTGAACGTCCTACAAGAAGTGCGCCAATCCATTCAATACACAGCGCAGTGGTGCATGTCATCACGTTGGGGACTAGGCCGAGTTAACCAGATTCCGTATCCCAGATCGCCAGAGCCATGCCGCACTCCCCTGATTGCTTTGATTTTGTGGCTAGCTTGAATCGCCCATGTTCACGGCAAAACGGTAGGGATGAAGGCTTCAAAACCCTACAATGAGACACAGCTGCAGCCGTACACCCGGTGCACTGGCCTGGAGTGGACATCCACGCCTTGGTCAGCAAGGACCTTCAAGCTGTTGGACGCAAGCGGTGCGGGCGGGTTTGGAACTGGGGATTCCAAGCAGCTCGAATGGTTCCAAATCTACAATCAAGCTGTATGTATGCTTGCACTTCTTCACAAAACGTCCGGAGTCAGCAAGTGGAGTGCTACGATGCCATGGATTGACATCCCAAGGGTCGCTGTGCAGGCATAGCTCTCGCCCAGAACACAATAAAACAAGGCTTCCTGCCCCACATGCTGATCGCGGAGATGCGGCGAGCGGATGTGAGGGAAGCAGTTGCATCATGATGTCGGGCTTTCGGAGGTGGATTTGTGATCGAAGAAAACCTTGTACTGGACAGTTTTCCTGAAATATCGCACTCCATCTCAGCCTCCAGGGCAGTGACCAAGGCTCCAGCAATCACCTGAGTGGCTGGGAGGCTTCCGGGCACTTTCCAAGAGGTCCATATTCGGCACTGGTGGTCCCCATCAAATGCTCAGTCCCTCTTCCATGAAGAGGCGCCTCGCTGCGATTGTTGAACACGCCGCCTGGCCGAACCAGACGAGGTACCGAGCTGTTGGGTTTGGGAACCGGGTATTCGATTCGAGCTGCCCAGTCTGACTCTCCGGTCCGACAGAGTTGAGGAATCCCGAACCACCGTACGAGCACGAACAGCTTTCGCCAATCTTGCCCACAACAACGGCATACCCCGCTGTCAAGCCCATCAGTCTTCGAGCAAGAACCTGCCGTCTTCTGAACTCTGCCTTTGGAAGAAGCTTGTTGATTCTTGTTGATGCCTCCCAAAGGCATCAGCACCACGCGCTGTTTAGCTGGTGGCTTGGCTGCTGCCGCAGCCATGCGGAGAGCACCGAAGTACCTTTGAGAGCATTGCATCCGTGCTGCGAGGTAGCCAAGACTTCGAAGGCCTGCAATGGCCTTTACGACTTTACACGTTATCATACAAAGCCGATGGTTCTCAACGAAGCGAGAAGCGGCATCACACAAGAGGTGCACTAAGCTACAGTGGTTGAGAATCGCAATTCGCTAAAGCTGTTTTGCATGCATTACCCGGCGATACTTCAGGATCCATCCGTGAAAGAATTTCAGAAGTTCCGCCAGCTTCTCGCATAAGTCAAGATATTCTAAGGGCTGAGGACTTTCTGGGCACTGTTCACAGACATCCCGTTTCTACAAGGAATGAAGCGGTTAAGAAGTGCAATGGTTTTGGCACTCACACTGAATAACGCTACGACGCCGACTAGAGTTTCGACTACGTACAGGTACGACTGCGACTGCGGCACCACCTCCACGCCGCTGCTGCTGTTTTGGCACTCACACTGAATAACGC